CCCAGGACATGCAGAGCTAGAAGGAAGGGGTGCCAAGCCCTTCTTATCTCACTCCCTCAGTTTCAGAATGCAGCAATGAAGTTGAAGGCAATTTTGCAACTGACTTTGGCAGCTGCAGAATCGCATCCGTGGGTATTCGCGTTCACAGTAGTCACACAACCGTTCTTCCATGCAAATGCACATCACATCCTCCGCACACACCTCATCTCACACACCCGTCCCCAGCTGCTTTATCAGCACGGGACTGAGCAAGGTGAACAGGAGCTGATAATGGTTTCATTGTTGCTATGTAAAAAAGCAGGATTTATTGACATAAATATTTGTTCTGGAAATCTTAAGTCTTTTAAGTGTAGCTTTATTTAAAGGCTGCTCTCCTGACCCTTCTAAACAGTACCAAATTTGTTACAGTACACAGAGACGAAACAGAGGGCAGATTACAGTGACCTACCCAAACAAGCAGTCTCGTTAGATATATTTAAATGAAAGGGGAAGAAGCGAGACACTTCAGGTTATTGTACAACTAGCTTCACTATGTTTCTGAACACTGACTGAGGGCGTTGCAGCCTGCGGTTCTGCTTGCCACGACAACATTCAGCATGGTGCCCTGAACCAGCTCTAACTCACTTGGGTTCAGCTTCCACGACAAACCCAAGTCTTGAACCAGCTATGCCAGAAAATGCAAATCTTTCAGCCCATCTAGGCCAAGCACAGAGATTAGGCCCAAGTTTCAACCAACCCCAGATCCATTTGCTATTCTAAATTAAAAGCCTGTGACACTTCGAAGGCTTTTGTCACAGAGCGGGTTCAGAAAATGTTACCAAACCTGTAGGCACTGCAGATGGCACTGACTCATGGGTGCCGCACCCAGAGGTGTTTGGTAAGCAGTGAGAGGGTGATGTGTTCAAGGACATCCTTCAGTGACATACTGGATGCCACCTGCACTGCTTTGTGCTGACTGGACTCAGCGGCTGAACACAAGACTTTGAGAAGTCAGGATGTCACCCCCCTTTTTTTGTGAGATGGGTCAGGCATCCTATCTATTAATGTTCTTCTACAACATCCATCAACAAAAAACGTGGCAGCATATCAGTAATAAATGAAGCAGTAGGACCAGCATGTCACATACTGTCCATTGTTCCTCAGGTTCAACAAATCTCTACAGGAGTTCATGCCAGAAAGAAGGAAGAGAGTCTAAGCTCTGAAGGCTTCATTTCCTAGGTATTCCTCGCTTTTCTAGTTGATTCCAGAATGGGTATTTCTCATTAAATCCAAGCACAGTTTGGCTTTACATGACCGAGATTAACTTTTTATGGCACTTATAGAATTCTGTAATAAAATGTAATTAACTGTTCTTCACTGCATCAAAGCCTGAATAGGATGTCAGCAACTGTACATGCCACAAGAACACGTTATTTATTTCAGATGTTGGAAGAGAGGAGGATGCTTGATAAAGAAGGCTTTAGTCTACTTTTCCAGCTCTGTCTTACCCTACTTAATCGTCCAATTGTTACACTTCATTTGCCAGTGCTGCAATACCTTCTTTAAAATAGATGTTGTTTTTAAAAGTTTTTAAAAAGAAAGTATTAGAAAGAGCACTTCAGAGTAAAAGGAGCCACATGTGGTGGCACTTCTCAACCTGTCGTCTATCAACCATCAGAACGTAGCTGAGAAAATGCCAAAGCTTTAAGCACACATACATCCATGCAAGCAAGCAAGCAAGCAAACCCACCCGTAAAATAAAAGTAAGAACCAAACATTCAAACTTAGCCTCTTTTTAAGTTGAGAGTGTTTAAAAAAAAAAAAAAAAAAAAAAAAAAAAAATGAAGGAACTGGGTCAAATTCAATCCTTATCTAAGACGACAGATGCTAGCACAGTCAATAGAGTACAGTCAGAGTCTGACTACGTCCTATTCTATGACTAACAAAAAGCATCATTAAGAGTGAAAACTTCTGTATATTATGTATGTACATGGAAACGTGTCTCAGAAAAGATGTATAATTGTCTTTATACTTACAAGTGGCTTCTCTGCATCCTATCTATCAAGTTGTATCCTCCCGCCTCTTTCCATTACTCAGAAAGTCTTAACTGATCTGCTGTAAAGCTCCCTCTACGTGCCTACTGCATAGCTTGGTAGGAATGATCATTTCTGCATTATCTAAAAACAGCCCCTCCAAGGCACAGATGGTTCCTGCAGAAAGTTGCACAAAGTTGTATTAGAAGCGTCAAGCCTTTCCCTGTCCGACCTCGCGCCCCCCCCAGCTTCCCAGGGCGTCTTCACCTCGTACTTACGATTTCTCAGCTGGGAAAAGAAATGAGGAGGTTCTCCGCTAGCCCTGCAGTTAATTTAGGCTTTGCCACACTTCTCTGCCAATTCCGGCTGTATTAGCAGCTTTTAGCTGTCTCAGCCCACATACCACACTGGCTGTGCTACAATAACAGCTCAATTGTCACAGGATAAATCTTCTTGTTTAAGCATCTGAGGCAAGTCCTAGTTGGAAGCTATTCTGCATGCGAGCAAAATCAGGGATGCTGTGGAGTCGTACCCCAGAAATCCTGGGAACCTCAGGTTTATGGTGAGGCAAAACAGCACCTCTTCAGTTCACATGGAAGACGACAAGGAGCCAGAAATCTGAAAAACTGGAGAGCCCTGATTCCCAAACTTCTGCGTTCATAGGCCCACAGGGTCCAAAACCAGCTCTGGGATATCCAATACCTGTGGCTCTTGCAGGAGCCAGACCTCTGGGTCCTTTTATGAACGTTTGACACATTTCATCCCCCTTTGGAAATCAAATTGGAGGTAAATTTAAAAACCTTGCCAGATTTTGAAGAGCACAGAGTGCAGCACTGTGCTTTGTTTTTCTTTGCTTTCATTTTCAGTTAAATTTCTCTGATCATACTCATGAAAAGACAAGATGTTATTCATTAGTATTACTAGGTGAGTAAGTTTTGAAAACCTGTGTGCCATTGAAGGTCTCCCCATCATCTTTTCTTCTCCAATTCAAAATGCAAACACCACTTAAAAATGGTTTTACTAAGCCCACAAACCTGCATGGATAGTAAGAGATGTGATGGGGTGATTGTTTTTGCAAGAGTCATTTTTTCTGCCATTTTTTAAAGTTTATCGTTGTCGCAGTACTAAAGATATTCCTTATGATTTACTTCCCTGAACTCAGGAGAATTAATTCGGCTATTTTCTTTAATAAGTGTTTATTTCAGGACAGCTCAGTGCAACACTTCAGATGAAAGTCTGCGTTACTGAGGAGTCTCACATCTTCCCTTCTGAAGGGAGAAAGGCCCTATGTGCTTCGTCTACATCGCAGCACAAAGTCCTAAGTCAACGAGCCACATAAAGCATATGTGTAAATACCGTCCAAAAAAAGGCTGCTTTCTTCACTTTCTGCCTGGCTGCTGAAGCGACTGCCTTCTCCCCCCTCCCTCCTCTCCCCAATCACCCACATTCACCCTAGGAACAGCCGCCATCCCATAGCAATAAAGTACAGCAGAAAATACTGAAACCCAACCTCCTCCTATAAAATAAGCGTCATCATTAAATTAGCTGTTTTTATCCTAATACACCAGGGGAATGCTCCCGTATCTTCTGCTTTGTGAGGAAAACACACACCAGCTGTTCTGACTTTTATGAAAAATTTACATCGAGTTCTCAATTTTCTAAGAAGTCTGAATTTCTCCTCCTTTGTCACTGACACCCAAATAAACAAACCAGCTCAAAGCCAAAAATCCTCAAAACCACAACCCAGAGGAGTCATACTGCAAAGCAAATCGAAAAGAAACCCAAGTCTAGAGCTTCTGCTTTGAACGTCTTCTTTAATCAGGCTCCGAAGGATTAATTCAGCAGGGGAAGGCAGACTCTGTTGGTTTATTTAGTTACTTATTTTAAGTTTTAGTTCAGAGTCAAATTCTTTCAGTGCTTTTCAGTTAACCGAAGGTATTTCAGCATGAGACATCAAATACCAGAGGCCTCCCTGAAATCTGTGTGACAGATCTTACATAATTAACACTCTGAGCTACTTGCTTTGAACCGAAAAGTTTCAAGAGGATTTCGCTAAGGGCACGAAGGGCTCTGTGCTTACCTTTTGGGCTGGGTTCATTCTAATACGGGCTCCTGCACAAGGTAGGGGAAGCACAAGATGCACACACAAACATCAGCTGCACAAAAACTGTGTTAATGTCACTTACAGCTATTTCTGTTTCCACTGACATTCAGTTTTAACCTAAAATTAGTTTGTTGTTAATTAAAATCATATACTTCTACTATGGTAATAATATAGAGGGCCAGAGTCTCAGATGCAAAAAAAAAAAGTTAAATTATTTGATTTTATGTAAGCACAAATTCCTAATTGGGAGCATTTTGTATGCTGGGGTGCATCTTCTCAACTGGCCACTGGAAGAGTGGCAAAAGTAACTCAGGTCTGTGTCGCAGAGTTAGAGGAGAGCAATAGCATTAGCAAAAACCTAGCTCTATAATTAGGAGTAGCGCAGCTCATTTAGGAAACACTAGCACACAGAAGATTGGAAAGGATTGATAGAGTGAGATCTCTTTTATATACATCTGAATACATACAGGTTTGCTGGTTTATGCGAACAGTGTTCATCAGAAGTAAGTTTTGCTCTGTGGGTACCTACACATTAATTGGCAGTCCCATTTGTTATCCTGCTAAAACAGTTAATGGTGTAATAGTTTTCAAACAGCATTCCAAGCTGTTTTGTTAGATGCATTACTATTTGAAGTAGTAGGAGATCATCCTTCATTTTGGCTGAGGCTCCTGGATCTCAACATTTTCTTTTTGACCCCCAGATTTCTTCTACTTTACTTATGCAAAAGCCCCCTGATTTCAGCACGACTGTTCAAACACAAAGATACTTACATTTGCAAGCGCTTGCAAAGCCAGGGCAGTCAGCGGACACAATTTTATTCCCTTTATTCTACTGTTTCCCCAGCATAAAACCCATATTGGTCTTCTACAACATTACCTCATACCTTGTCTGTCTTTTTTTCTTGTTTTTCCAATATGGCCATGTTTTCTTTCAGAATTTTCACAATCTCAGCAGGGTTTTTGTGCGATTTACTAAACAAAGGCATGATTTTTCTTCACCTGGATTTCTTCCTTCAGGATAGAAGAGGACTGCCTTAAATCAAATGAGAAACAAAAATAGCTTTTAAAGCTCATACAAAAATGCAATCAAACCACACAAAGACATTATGAACAATAAAAGGTTATGCCTCAGGCACTATATTTTGCTTCAGCTACTCAGTAAAGCAGTAAAAGTTCTCACGTACAGTTATTGCAAGTTCATCCAGGAATCACAAGGCACCATTAGCACGTGGAAAGCAACTACTCAGCACCTCCGCAGGAGCTGGGTGCTTCCTAAAGTCCCTGACTTACAGGTCAGCGCTCCAGCGACTCTATCCCTATGTCCAGCATTTTTTGGACACTGCATATCTGGCAGGCTCCGCTAGATTGCTGATAGACGTTTCTGCCGAACTTCACTGGGTTCATCGCGATGCAGATAGCTAACTGTAGATGCCAGCGTACCAAAAGCATTCTTTGTTTAGAGCATCACAAGGTAAGGTCCCAGCTTCTCCACCATTGCTCCTTCTTCTGCAGCTGCTTTCCTTTTTCAGCCTAAAGCTTCTTGAGAAGAAGCAGTTGAAACTACCCCCTAAGTCTGACAGACTTCAAGGATCTGTGGGTCAGATCTCACTTGTGTAAAACATCGCCTGAATTAAATAAGGAACAGAGGATCAGGCCCAAATACAGACACAAATGTTTTCATGACATTTAAATGAAACACCGAGCATTTTAATGAAAATGGCTTTGTTTGTTTAATTTAAAACATTCTTCCTCTGTGTGGTTAGAAAGGCAAATACCACATCACGGCATTCATACATGAAAGAAACCAAGCAGCTTAGTTTCTGATCCTACATAGCATTAAGTTGTGAATTCCCATGGGTTTTGCTGAGGGTCCAATACAAAGATCTACTGAAGTCAATGGACAGACTACAGATGGGAATATGCTCTGGTTAAGGCCGTACCACTTTCCAGGGAGAGTACAGCACCATTCTGGACTGCATTCCAGTTTGTACAATAACAAAGAAGAGGTAAAAAAAAAAAACAAACCCAAAAGCAAAAAATAATCTCAAATGTTCATCTCTTTCCACAATAAAAGACAACCATTACCATACCTCCCCACACACATTTGCAAGATTAGTCGTGAAAACATAACTATATATACAAACCACTTCAATCTCCTTATTCTTCTTCAACTTTTACAATTTAAAAAAAGCATTATACAAGAGGTTTCAAAGGAGAGAATTAAACAAGCACAATACACACAGTATAAAGAAGAAAACCCAGTGGTCCCAAAGAACCCACTCCTCTCATGCTTCGTTGTTACTACTGACACACTACAGAGTCCATCAGTAAGTATGACCCCATTTGTGCCATACATCCATGTGTTACTAATCCCCAAATATCCTATGGAATGAATACCCGGATTAGATATACATTCTATTACAACTATAAATAGCAGCCATATAAAATAGCCAAGTACAAAATTCAAACCACAGAGAAGTACTTTAAAAAAATTTAAAAAAAACAAACAAAACTATACAGACTCTGTCCTAACATCTTATTAAAAACATTTCAAAATATTTTTGCAGATTATCTTTACAAGAACAGTTTCTATGACATGCAGGAAATATTTTTAGATGTCTTATTTAAACCAAAAGTTCCTTTATAGTGTCCAGAGTAGGTGAATTTGTATATAGCTTCTCATTTGTTGCTAGGTCAGTTTTACAGCAGTATTTTCATGTTCAGCGTCTGAAAGCTAACCACTTTCAGATTTCCATTTTCAAGCTCTTCACGGTTCAGTTTAAACTCATTTTTATTTCTGCAGTTTTGGCTACATAACCTTCACTCCGTGGCTGAGCTCTCAACTGCGGAGCCTTGCTCCCATGGAGCTCACAACTGCAAGCTTTGGCAGCACCATCCAACTAGCAACCGAGCAGGTCACACCTCAACCTGACAATGTGCAAGACTGAAGACTGGGTATACTAACGACTAACTCATTTGAGCACATTCAGCTACATACAAGCACTGGAAAAGACTGGGATGCCAGTAATATACAATAAATTTGTTTAAACGTTCCTAGCAAGCACCAAGCACCCCGTAATCCTGCATTTGCTGCAATTAGAAGATTAATAATTCACAACTCACTTCAAGAAGGACCTGATTCTGCATGTGTTTTTATTATCCGTGAAGACATGGCATGAGCATGTGAGGATGCAAGAGAGAGAGTCTGAGAGCAGGAGCTTAACAGGCACGTTGCATTTCAGAAAAGAAGTATTTTCATCCAAGGTGGGGTAGGTTTACTCAGATTACTGAAGCCATCCCTTCATCTTCCCCTTTTAGAAGTCTCCGCACAAGGAAAAGCAAAGGGGGAGATAATTTGATTTTTAAATTGAAGTACTCATGAGCTAGAGGTTCTGAGATTTAAAAAAAAAAAAAAAAAAGAAGTCCACATTTCTAACTGAAATGTTGACTATAAATTATAAACACATTTTCCTCCCAAAAAATAGCTTATATAGCTGTCAAGAGTATGGTGTCTGTATTTAAGTAATCACTAATTTTGCCCTAAAACTCCAACAGTCAGGCTACCACTTTTCCACTGTATATAGTTCCAGTCTCACCACCAAGTCACCACAGCACTGCTCAGTGATAAAATACCGTTTCTCTTCAATCATACCCTACCAGTGTCCTAATCACAACAGCAAAATCACTGATAATAGGGCAGGAAGGCACTCAAGAGACTGTTTAGTTCATCCCTCCACTGAACAGAGCCAAGTCTCTGCTTCACTTAATTTATTAGTCCTACATACAAAGCAAAGCATCTGCCGTATGCAAGTGGAGGGAGACAGAGAGAAAAAGGGGAAGAGCCCCAGACATGCATCAAAAAACATTTTTGGATTTACCCCCTTTCAGGACACAGTTTTTAACCCATCAGCATCTGGCAAAAGATGATCCATTGCTTCAGAAAATACATAGTGGCATCTGCAGGTTATGGTCCCTTTTGCTTCTCCACGCAGGAATCTCCTAGGGAGCATGTGCTATTCACAATTACAGGTAGAAGCAAACAGGGGTAAAGTCACTTTGCTGAGATTTGGGAGTTGCACTCCTTAGTCTTATGGCTGGCTATTCCATAAGGCACATGGCGAAACAAGGACTCCTCCCCTCCAGCTTTGCTCCTCATGACTGGATTCTCCAGCACCAAAGAAAGCAAAAGCTCTTGCTAAAGCTCTTGACACAGCTGGGCATTTCTGCCTTGTCCTCCTCCTTCTATCAGCTCTCTGCTCTTTCAACTTTAATTGGAAGGTCTTCTCTTTGGTAGAGGCACTAATTTGGTTTAAATTCCCTATTCCTTTCATCACTTATTTTAAATCCATTTTTTGGAACTCCGTATTTTCCAGGCATCTAGCCCTCTGTCAAGGTTGCTTGAAATTGGCCAGTAATTTAAAAAGTTACCATGGGAAGAGAAGTTGGATGAGAGATGGACAGTGTGACCACATAAGCTTCATTTTCTCAAGAAACCAGCCTAAAAATAACTGAAATACAAAGATGAATGACAACTGAAAAGAATGCAACACAGGCTTACCAAAGGTAGCTCATACTACAATCCCTTATGAATATATTTTTAGACAGAGAAAACACAGTAGAACCCATGCATCTAACATGGAAATACACTAAATTGAATAGAGTAGAAAATAAACTAGTTGAAGGAAAATTATCATGTAAAGGGAGACAGATTGTCTGAGAAGGTAAGAGCAATTTGGGGACGGGATCGTATTTAGAGAGGCATAGGAATTAAGAGCCTACCCAAAAATTGTGGTCACTCAAAATCGGAAGATATTATCAACACATAAGAGAACTGGAATACCATTACCTAAGAAACTTGCTTGCCTCAAGGACTGAGATAATGAAAATGGGATAAAAATTAGGAGTAGAAAGTATCAGATAATGCTGAACGGCAGAAGAGACAGACAGGTGGTAGATGCCCCATCCCTGGAAACATTCAAGGTCAGGTTGGACAGGGCTCTGAGCAACCTGATCCAGTTGAAGATGTCCCTGCTCATTGCAGGGGGGTTGTACTACATGACCTTTTAAAGGTTCCTTCCAACCCAAACCTTTCTAGGAATATCTGCTTCAAGCTGAGGACTTACCCTGAGAAATTACAAAGACAGACACCCGGTGACTACACCCATATTCTATGGACAGGAGAAAGACAGACACAAATCTCTGATGAACTGAGAAAGTAATTGCCAGTAGAAATACAAAGGTATTCATGTCTTTGTACAAAGTCTTGATGGAACTTCATATGGAACATTGTACACAATCCTGAACATGCGCAGCCAAGTAAAATCAACAGAGGTTAGAGCGGGTGCAGAGAAGGACGCTAGGCTGACCAGAAAAATGGGAAGACCAGCATGTCTAGGAGGCTCGCCTTGGTAAGCTTAGAATAAAAATACAGGGAAGATGAAGAAATTATTTCAGCTCAAGTAACAACACCACTTTATTTATGCAGAAGCAAATGGCTATAAACTGCCGATGGATAAACTTAAGCCGAAAAAGTAAAGGTTTCCAACCATTGGAGCTTTGAAATTTTGAAATGACCTGCTCTACCAGGCACACTACAGAGCATCTGTTCATAAATTTTTGACACTGCTGTCTGGCAGCGAGGGACAGGGCTCAATGAGCCCCTTTCTTTCCTGCTTTCTAGGAAAACTTTTTCCATCTAATGGTTATTCAACATATGTTTTTATAACATCAGAAATGCATTGTGGACACTCCTGAATTCGTAATGGGGGACCAGCCAACTTCTGAAACATTTAGTTGTGATGATGTTATTTCACTGGTGCTCTTGTGAAGAGCTTATGAGACCAAGGAAAGAAACAGCTGTATCTCACTGGACCGACTCCTGGCCTCAGAGTTTGTCTCTCCTGGTCGCACAGGGAACGCTGTAGCAGCGCTGTAGCAGCAGCGGTGGTTTCCAAAGCCTGCTGTTGCCATCGGTATGAACAGGACATTTCAGCCACCAGAGCTAGAGTCTCCAGTGCATTTTACAAGCCCTACTTTTACAGAAGTACTTTCAGGGAATATAATTCCATGTTTGTTTGGAAGAAAAAAATGGCACTGATTTTATTTTAGGTAAGTGACAGAAACACCAAAAGGCAATTTTAAAGCACCGTTTTCTAAATGTTTGTCTGTTTCTTTTCAAGTCAGAAAAAAAGAAAAAAAATATATCACACAGACTAAAGCAGTGAGTTGAATCCAGAGGTGGACGAGGCTTATAAGCCATGAGTATTAGGGTATTCAGTAGCCTGTCAAAGGTAACATAACATCCCTTCATACTCAGGGCGTGCCTTCCCTCAGAGGCCTCCAACTCTGCAAACATTTAACCAAGATGGAAAACACACTTCCAAAAAAACCTATATAGCTGCTGTTACTCTGCCCCCTCTGCAAAGGGAGAAGCTGAAGCACAGGAGATTAGAAGACTTACCCAAGGCCACATAAAAAAAAAAATCAGTGGCTATGTCAGGAATGAAACATAGATCATTTGACACCAAAGTTTATGCTTTATCAGTCTTCAAAATATGTCTTCTGCCAGTTTATCTGCTCATAAAGGGAATGCAGTAAAAAAAAAAAAAAATCAGAGCAACTCAAGCTCTTTAATACAACTATAAAGTACAGTAAGAGATCTAGCTCTGTTTATAGGCACCCTCCCCAATTTCTTTGCTCTTAATCATATACTTTTGAGAAAGATTATAGCACAGCTGAGCTTGTAAGTACAATGAAGGCAAAATGCAGATGGCAACATCACTCTACTCACCGGCCCATCCCACTATGAAGTGACTCAGTTAAGCAGCTCAGTAACAAATGCTTCCTCCTGCCCACGAAGGCAAGAATGGGAGAGAGCACGTGAGCCCATCCACGCCCTCTTTCCAGACGTTCCTCTGGACAAGCCATTCAGTCTTCCAAAATGAACAAGCGCAACAATTTCCTTCCCTTTAAGTAGCAGGCATCCGTCTTGTCTTAGTTGCTAACCTTCATCAACTTACTGATCAGACTCAAAACATTTCAGTAACTCATATTGGGTGAGAGCTTCTTGAATGGAAAAAAGACCTTCCTTTTCCATTCACCCCAGTGTGCCTAAGACCCACATATCTGAGGCCTGCATTAGCGCACTTTCTTCATAATTTTGCCTAATTCAGTCTCTACATAATGGAAGAGACACTTTATTCCCTCGTCATTTCTCCCTCCTGCCATATTTGGGAAAGCTGTTGCAATTAGAGAGTCACGTACTCAAACCAGGGGATGGAAGTCCCCATGTGTGATGATCACCTGGAGAAGTCCAATCCATCCTCCCCCATGCAGTCCCCTCACACGACCCACATTTCATTCGATACGCAGAAGGAATCAGGGCTACACAACAAGTAACTTCTCTGCAAATCCTCAACGAGTTGCAGATCTTGCAGTACATTGAAAATGAGACAAAAGATTAACAGAAGAGAGGACAGTTTTATGGTTAGTGTGAATGAATGCCACCTCTGCTTGGCAACAAAATTATTCCAAAAACTCAAGAATTTACTCATCATAAGCCTTGCTGTTGGCTACTTGTTGCATTACCTGGAATGAAGGTGGATATTGGCTGAAACTTCACCTGAACACACAAAACATTGCAGTAACGCCTACCATCACCACAAACATCTTTTTTTAGCAGATGGCAAGCATCCTGAAGATCAGACATGGAAAATAAGTAGGCAGCTCTGCCCTTAATCTGATCACCTCTACAGAATGAGAATAATATCACATAGTTGTTCAATACTGTTATGGAACTGAAGGCATTCATGGTGATGCTCCACTCAAGTGCTGAGGTGTAGCTCTGTGGAAGCACTCAAAGAAATTAATAATTCTATTTTTAATTGAGTGCTTGAATGCCCATTCAATTAAAACCAAAAAGCCTACATAGTCTCTCAGCAAACATGGGGGATAAAATGAAACACTGAACAGCTAGCTATCTGGTCACCGAGGCCACAGTTTGATAAACGCTTTGTTCCGTGACAGTGCCACCCTGCTCCACATCTATTCACACCCCTACAGCCTCCGCTGGGGCGGTACAGCTGTCTGCAGGGCCACGAAGTGGGCCAGGTCTGGGAACCCACCCAGGTTAACAAAAAATAGCCTGTGGGGAAAAAAAGGTCACACTGGTTCCCAGCCCAGTTCTCCCCACAGTCTTACAAAGAGCTGTACCAGCACAAGAGGGGAAGAAGGGGATCAAAGGAGGGTAGAGACAGGGCTGCTGGAGCAGATGCGACAGCTCAGGTGTTCACCAGCCAAACCCAGAATGAGACAGTGATGATGGGAAAGGGGGTGTAAATGTGTGATGATACAAACTTAATGAAAGTATCCTGAGTAGGGTACAGAGAACAGACTACATTGGCACAGATAAATGCCAGAGTTCAAGTTAGGAACCTTCTGAGTGTTTGACTTTGCTGCCTAGCGTCCTTTTATTGCAGCAAGTCCTGTGCTACCACATCTGTTATTATCATAAAATATTTATTACAAAACAGCATTTGCACGCTGCAATGCCAGGTAACATTCAGGTTCTAAAGCCATGCAGAAGCAGCGTCTTGTGGCACCATACTCACACCTACATCAATCATCTCTATATCACAGGATTACACAGGCTCTCCCACTCATGCTAACAAACTAGCTAGAAGTAGTAGGTTATTACTTTATGTTGAATAAAACCAGAAAGAGAAGAAACCAGCGGTTTTACAGCCACCAAATTTGCAGGATTGATGACTCAAGAATATTTGGGATCCCTATTTCCATTTGTCACCATGGAGGTCTTTCAAACCTACAAAATTAAGAATTCAATTCCATTCCTAACTGTAGTCCATAGTGAAACTCCCACAAGCTGTTATGCAGAAAGAGGTCTCAACTAATGTCTCTGAAGCACACACAATTCTAACAGAATAGCCCTTAACAGCTTTTTATTTACTGAAGTAAAAGGGAAACCAAGTTAAATTTCCATTTCTAGTAGTAATAATAACTGTAGAAATAATGCAAACCGGTAATATAATTTAAATAATATAGGCAGCAACCAGGCGAGAACAGGACTTCCTCTAAGCCCATTAGCGAGGAACATGAATACTATTTTTGCTTTTTGTTCAATATTACTGAAAGTTACCTTGCTACACAGTATTCACTTGACCATGTCATTAGCAAGCCTGCTGTGTTACTTCCAATAGCTTCATAACACATTAAAATAATATGCTATAGCAGTAATTTCACTTTACTACTAACATTAGTCCAAGAAAGAGTCTTTGCTCAGAAAAAAACCTTCCCTTTAGCTCAATGAAAGTTCTGCCTGATAACGACTACACGAATAGCCCATTCCACAGAATTAGCATTTCAGGTTGGTGAGACCTCTTGACTGTAAATAACGAGACGGTTAATTTACATATGCCGTTTCTTGTGACAGTTCACACGCGTGCTCATCTTCCCTTCATCTCTAACAGTTTCCCAGTGTCTTATGCAAGTGGCCACGCTCTCATTCCTCTGCATCTCAAGAGCCAGTCCGCAGCTGCAGGCAGTCAGCGGAGAAGAGCAAGAGAAATGATATATTGCAGATATTTTATTTTTGGAAACCGCACTGTAAATAAAGCCATTTCCAGAGATATTCCATGGACATGGAGCGCTTGGTCGCGGAGCCAGCGCCTTATGTAACAGGAGGAGTATTGTTTAGGGTTGCCTGCTTTGAAAAGCCACTCCTGGTAACACAGTTTACAAAGCTATAAAAAGCTAACAGCGTAACCATCGAGAACAAGCAGGCAAGCAGTTTATTACGAAAAGGCTGGTGCTAACTGGAAAAAGAAAAGTTTTATTAAATCACTTAACTTTCTGTCACTCGGAGGACATCATCTCGGCTGACACTTACTGCGTGTGGAAAGGTGGGGGCTCCTAGACAGCCCGGCGCAGCCCCATGGCCAGGTGCTGAAGACAGCTCTGCCGCCTCCCCGCAACCCACGCCGCTAGCAGCCACCTTCAGTTATCTTCCATTTAATTCAGCTTTTTCCCCCCCCGCCGATTATCGACACGTGGCAGAGACGAGGGATCCCGCGAGGCGGCCGCCTCGTCGTCTTCCGGCCAGC